CCGAGACTCCTTGCCAAGTTCTGCAGATATCGGCCTGGCAGCTCTCCAAGCCAGATAAGGTCTGTGATTGTAAATCCACCTTCGAAAGACTTTGTTGGATGTGAATGAGCGAAATTCACAGTTAATTAATAAAAGGGTTTTTTGTCGGGACCAGGAGTTTGTTTCATTCTCTCGGGAAGCCTCGGTCAGAACACCCAGTTATGACTGGGCTTGAGTTCCAGATCAGCTTTTACAAACATTCTTCCAAGTCTGAAGTGCATCAGAGGTTGGACAGAGCATGTCAGGAGACGCAGGCCCACTATAAGAGGGAAATGCCACCCAGTCATGACCATAGCTCAGCCCACATGTTGCATGTCAACTCTCTTCCTCTTGCCCGAAGTCAGCTTGGTCTGCCAGGGCCAACATTTCTCCTACCCTTCCCCAAGAGGGAAGATCCCTGCTTTTCCAGGGCCAAGAAAACAGAGCAATCTCACCAATTACTCACGTGGAGTCCGGGCTGAATTTGCACTGGAGTGCATAGCGGTTGTGCGCAGGGATCTTGGTCTTAGGAATGAGCTGGGTGACCTCATCTCCAATGCCCCCCGTGAGATTCCAGACGTAACAGTTGCCCTGCAAAAGGAGAGATGAGTGAAAGCACTTGGTCCGCTGCCTCTATGCCACGGCGAAGACTAACCGAGGAACTCAAGTTATTCCAGCCCAGGCTGTCCTTACCGAACTGTTGACCGCAGCCATGTAGCTGGCATCTGGATCAATATGTACCGCGTTGACCGAGACCTCTGGCTCTGGAATGAGCTGCTCATTGTGGTCCGTTTTCAGGTCCCAGATGTGGATAGCGCCACTCTGGTCTCCGACAATGAGCTCAGCCTGGGAGGAAACAAACCAGGGGAGATTTTGGTCCTTCCTGCACCCTCTTTCCCCACGCAACACAAGAGCAGGGGATCCCGCCTCAGGTACCTGATTGGGATGCAAGCAGACGCAGTTGATGGGCGCATTCACCTGGAAAATGCGCTGGCACTGAAGATTGCGTGACCTAGGAAGACACAAACAACATGATGGGGGTGAGCTAAAGCAGTGTTTTTCAACCTTTTTTGTGCAAAGGCACACTTTTTTCATGAAAAAAATCACGAGGCACACCACCATTAGAAAATGTTAAAAAAAATTAACTCTGTGCCTATATTGACTATATATACAGAGTTTTTCACACGACACATTATACAATATGTGACCAC